CTATGTGCTAGGAGCGAGACAGTAATGCCCTGTTTACTGCACCCTCGGGCCAGGTCGGCCCCTCACAGCCTAGTGGGTCAGGCTATCGAGTCATTGACACCTGGAAGGGTCCCCCAAGAAAACCCTACCAATCGTCACGGTGCAGACTTTTGAGTCAGAGGCTGGGAGCATGCTCCCCAGCAAAATCCTACATCCCTGCACTGCCTTGTGGGTCATACCTGCGTCAAAGGCTCAAGGTAAAGTATCTCAACTCAACCGCCTTCTTCGCCTAGACAACTGGGAAGTAGCATTTGCCATTGCAGATCTTCGCTCACCAGCCTTCTCCCACACTCCCTCCCCACCCACTGAACAATGCAGTGCAACTAACCCATCTACCAACCCCTTAGCCACTTTTCCGTGTCCCAAACGTCGTTCAGAAAGACAAGCCAAAATAATCACTTAATAACCTCAAAAGACCTGATCGACGTTGCTGCCTTTAATGTCCGTACTCTATGTCAACTGAGCAACAGTCATCCCTCGTTAAAACCTTTCTTTCTTGGTAATTGATCAGGTAGCTGTTGATCTGTTCGCCGAGCTTGGCAATTGATTTGCAAACGTTTCGTCACCATTCGAGGAGACATCTTCAGTGCGCTGTTGATGAAGATGTCTCCTCGAATGGTGACGAAACGTTTGCAAATCAATTGCCAAGCTCGGCGAACAGATCAACAGCCACCTGATCAATTACCAAGAAAGAAAGGTTTTAACGAGGGATGACTGTTGCTCAGTTGACATAGAGTACGGACATTAAAGGCAGCAACGTCGATCAGGTCTTTTGAGGTTATTAAGTGATTATTTTGGCTTGTCTTTCTGGACGACGTTTAGGACACGAAAAAGTGGCTAAGGGGTTGGTAGATGGGTTAGTTGCACTGCATTGTTCAGTGGGTGGGGAGGGAGTGTGGGAGAAGGCCGGTGAGCGAAGATCTGCAATGGCAAATGCTACTTCCCGGTTGTCTAGGCGAAGAAGGGGGTTGAGTTGAGATACATTATCTTGAGCCTTTGACCCAGGTATGACCCACAAGGCAGCGAAGGGATGTAGGATTTTGCTGGGGAGCATGCTCCCAGCCTCTGACTCAAAAGTCTGCACCGTGACGATTGGTAGGGTTTTCTTGGGGGACCCTTCCAGGTGTCAATGACTCGATAGCCTGACCCACTAGGCTGTGAGGGGCCGACCTGGCCCGAGGGTGCAGTAAACAGGGCATTACTGTCTCGCTCCTAGCACATAGCAGGTGCCCTTTGAGCATTACCAGACTACTTGGCTTCAAAAGTATTTCAACCGTATTGAATAATGCGCCGGCGGTCACGGTCAACCGTTGGGCGACCAGGGTGTGCGGATTTCAGGGCCGATCTTATGTTACCCGTCCTCCCACGTGGAAAGGCAGCATCGCTGCTTCCATATGGACATGTCGGTCGCCTGGGGGAGACGCCTTACTGCCTCCACATTCCTATCGCAGAGGACAGTCCAACTTTACCTCCAGACCGCTTCGTAATACGATTACTCGCAGTACGGGGACTCGCCGCTATTCGTCGAGCCACTGGCCGTTCACCATCCTGGCATGGTTCAACCTTTAGGAACTGAGTTTCAGCTAGTATAGCCCGCAGGATCATTGCAGCACTGAAGCCCGACCACCACAGCAAGGTGACAATTTTGGGTCGAGAGTCAGATGTAAAAACCGCAATTCACTCACAGCAAAGAGTGCATGTCCATTTAGTACAGAATTGGCATGGGAGAGCCACGGATGTTTCCATCACGTTTGTGATGGCAGTGGAGGGAGATTGTGCCATGTTTTGGAACCATCAATCACTCCAGATAAATCCCGACCGGTGAAATATGAGGATGCAATAGACCGTATTTTGGGGATCATCCCTCGATGGGTTCCCGAATAAGCTCGACTCCGTAAGTAACCTTCTGATATAACTACTTCCTGAAAATGTCAACTACAGTATACACACCAAGGCCAGCTCATGCTTACATATCTGCCGGCACATATGTAAACATATGTAAATCCAGTTTGGCTGTATCTTAAAGGCCTTTAGGATAAAGCCAAACTCGATTTTCACATCCTCACGCTTTTCTGAAGCTACTCGTCTACCCAGTAAACACGATGCCACCGGTGGCTAACGGTGGCCAAAGGTGGCTAGCTTTGCCACTGATTTTGTTGGTGAATACAAGCCAAACATAGCATCAGTGGCATAAAAGCCTTGTGAAAACAAATGTAACAGGATAATCTGGACACTGAAGCTCTATTTACGAAGTAATTTTTGAAACCGATTTGTTTGAATGCATCACCGATTAAATATATCACGAAATTTTTAGGTTGCCACCTTTGCCCGCTTTTAGCCACCAGCGGAGCCATCGGTGGCAAGCGTAACATGCCACCCCTATTTGCCTCCTCTTGCCACCGGTGGTGCCGCGGTGACGTGTTTACTGGGTACACTACATTGGCGAACCAGTCCTCATCGCAACAACGAGCATCATGGGCTGACACGTTGTTTAGCGCCACTGCTGACAATGGACGACTAGGTACTGAATTGACGCTCCCAATACCAATACCAACCCCCTAAACGTTGGTTTTCTGGTTGGCTGAGTAGAATCCGGTTGCCAAGGCGAGATGCAGATGCTGCTGTTCCGCGCTTTCTGCAGACAATGGAGGATGATTTCGCGGCGTCTACCAGTTAAACAAACTAAAGCCACCATCCAAATACTACTTTGTAGCTCAGGGCGGTCACTGCGTTGTTATTCTATCATCCATTCAATCACGAAACTCGTGAGTAGTTCGCTGCGCGTTTACCAAAACTGTTAACCCACGCAAAAAAAATCAACCTAATACTTCACACCACGGCGTGCTGAAGAACAGCCCAGATCCACGGCTATGCTCGGGCAGTAAGCAGCCGCACCGAGAGGGTATCCACGCGACCAACAGGCATTGAGTCTGATTCGCCCTCAGTTCTTGTCCTCACTTATGAATGAACCAATGAAGTCTGAACTTGAATCTGGCTGTCTGTCTCACTCCCGATCATGAAAAAATGGACCAATCAGGACGACCCGAAATCGAACGGCAGTCTGAATCCGCTTCGGACGCGTCGTGGCATATGTAGTATACGGTGTTTGTCATTTTGAGGGATTCATATGTAAGTATTGGTGATGTACAACCTTGCTTACTGGGCTTTGGCTCATGAGCTTTGTTTCTGTTTTCCATCCACAGAAATTGTCGTGAACACCTGCCTTCGGAGAATCACTGTCCCCTGGTGCTTCCATAGCGTGCATATTACAGAATTGGCGACCACGCCAGGATGGTTACCACACACAGAGTAGACCTACCACAAAGATCCTGGCTCTACATATGTGCATACAGGCCTCAGAGCTAGCACGTTGCTCACTCACACACGGTAGACGCAGCCCCAGATACAGCAACCTCTGCACACGCTCACCAGCTTAACGCACCACACCACTAGCACCGGCCGGTTCACGTAGGCCATGGTACACCGGGGACGGTGTTCTTCAAAAAGGAGGCCAGTGTAGTATACGGTGTCTGTCATTTTGATTGATTCATATGTAAGTATTGGTGATGTACAACCTTGCTTACTGGGCTTTGGCTCATGAGCTTTGTTTCTGTTTTCCATCCACAGAAATTGTCGTGAACACCTGCCTTCGGAGAATCACTGTCCCCTGGTGCTTCCATAGCGTGCATATTACATAATTGGCGACCACGCCAGGATGGTTACCGCACACAGAGTAGACCTACCACAAAGATCCTGGCTCTTCATATGTGCATACAGGCCTCAGAGCTAGCACGTTGCTCACTCACACACGGTAGACGCAGCCCCAGATACAGCAACCTCTGCACACGCTCACCAGCTTAACGCACCACACCACTAGCACCGGCCGGTTCACGTAGGCCATGGTACAGCGGCAGTGAAGCATTGGTGTTGAACACTGATGTCATGCTGTCGTTGTTGATGATGATGATGATGATGGTACACCGGGGACGGTGTTCTTCAAAAGGGAGGCCAGTGTAGTATACGGTGTTTGTCATTTTGATTGATTTATATGTAAGTATTGGTGATGTACAACCTTGCTTACTGGGCTTTGGCTCATGAGCTTTGTTTCTGTTTTCCATCCACAGAAATTGTCGTGAACACCTGCCTTCGGAGAATCACTGTCCCCTAGTACTTCCATAGCGTGCATATTACACATATCCCGGCAGTGGCAGTGTTAGCAACCCCAGCTATGTTCTCAATGGACTCGGTTCCCATATGTACAGGTGAAATTACGGCTAGTGACTTGAAGACGGATTCGCACGCACGGTCTATTGCTATCTCAACAGTCGCGTCGGTAGCGCCGCAACGTTACACCTTAGCGCAACAAAACACATCTGTGGAAGTTCCCGCTTCATGTTCACCTTCAGCTAAAAATCTCCCGCCTGGGAATTTTTTCGATTCAACAAAGCCACTAGATTCCCTCACAACAACCACAATGGCGTCCTTTCTGGTACCTCCTCCAAAACCAAGGTCTGAATACTTTTATCCAGACGAAATCAAATTGATGCTAGAAGAAGTTGGATTGCGTAAACACTTGCTTCTTTCCCCATCACCTTCGACTAACAGACTGAAACGGCGAGCATGGGAGGAGGTGGCAGCAAATGTAGCTGCTCGGTGGCCTCATTCTGCTAGACGGACGGCGGAACAAGTTAGTGAGCGTTTTTTACTGTTTTTGCTACTGGCACGCTAAAGTTGGTTTAACTCTTACGAAGGTCTCCTTTTATGTGTTACACCACTCTAGCCTCTAGAACAAATGTCAAACGCCAGCGCCAAATTCAAACAATCGATAGCTCTAAACTGATAGCCTTCGAACCGTTCATTCGTAGCACACTTTCGGCGTCTAACTGCCGTGCTATCCGAAACAAGCATGAGGGTTGGGATACTGCCAGGTCGCCCAGGCCTAGACAGCGGAAGCCGAGGTGCAGAGATCGGGTTCGAACCACGGGCCTCCTGGTCGTTTCATTGGAATAACCCCGGAACTTGGACCGATAGTCAAGCTCACGATCCATCCACTGAATTCCTCGACGAGAGCGTCCGGTTCATCAAGCCTGAGCTTTTCTTATTCGCTATCAGGCGATTGGACCCTACCACGGTCTGACGGTTTGTGCACTTCCATAGTCGATTGGGTATTACTGGAGAGTGTACGTGTGACACTTACAGAGCCTGATACCAGATCGGTCAGTGGTTAAAGGTCTTACTAACAGCATCCTAGTCCTCCAGGTTGGGGTTGGAACATGTATGGTTTCTTGTTCTTAAGAATATTATTTACTGGCATTTTCCGCCGGACACCACTACCTTGTGCTCAGGCTTTAGAGCCAAAAAGCTTTCGTCGATCACCCTTATTATCCTCTCCTATAGGTCTGGGCGCACTGACAATATATCATACCAGCTACAGTCATGAGTCCCACGATACAAATAACCTGATGTCACATCTAGCGTCGCTTGATACTAATATTCGAGTCGCCTTGCTGCTTACTGCAGGGCGGATAAGCGAAAGCAGGCTTTTGCTGACACCCCCTTCTTTTTCCGCCACAGTTTTCATCTTCCCTTTGCCCCATTTCTAGAGACACCTTGAGGACCGGCGGGCCAGTTCACCACTCATTGCCATTAGCTGCAATATCTACTTCTAAGCCAATCTTCAAAATCAGCGCCCAAATCATCTGGCATTAAGTAAAGTTCGCACTTTGACACAACGGACCGATGTCCCTCGCCATTTTACTAAGTCACATGTTGTCCGCACCACAGTTTCGCGCCATTCCGAAGAAGGCATAGGTAACGACATTCCTCTCTGTAGACGGTTTTCTTCCATACATAGCACCTGGCTGAGTCGCCAAAATTGACGGCAATTGGTGTTTTCCGCCACTGAATTACCTACTGTAAAACCAAACACTCGTTTTCTAATTAACTCGTCACGAATTCGTCGAAGCCAACATCACGTCAGTGGTCAAAATCCTAAAAGACGCTTCACATCACCTAACCGTAGAGACCATGTCTCGCAGCCATACAACAATACTGCCCTTACTGTAGCCGGGGCGAGATGACTCAAGTGGTTAGAGCGCGAATTTACTGACCGGAAGGTCCGTGATTCGAACCCGACCTCCGCCACTCGACTTCCCCTGTCTAGGCTTGGGCAACCTGACAGTATCCCAGCCCTCGTGGCATGACAGCTAGGCACCGAAAGGGCGCTACAGCTGAACGATTTATATTATTTATTTTTTTTACTGTAGCCTGGTACTTTGAGATCCAGTGATATGCCTTTTTGATGCCACATGATCATCATAATCATCAAAGACTGCAACATCAATTAGGCACTGATTCTTCACGACCGTAAAACCATTAAACCATTATTATATTAAAAGCCATAGGGTGAAAAGAAGAGAAAAAAGTGGGTGAGGAAGGCGATCTATGGCCGGCCTAGGTCAAGCATTCTGATTTGCCTACACCTCCAACCGCTCAATCAGGCAAACTTGAAAGAAACTGACAGCATGAACGCCACTGACATCGATTAGCCGCCATTTCTTGCAAGGTCTCCAGCCAAGCACAGATGGGGTCACGGAGACCCGATCCTGGAAAGTGTACAGCGCCAACAACACCTAAATTCTTCGTGATCTCTTTCACGCCTTCCTGACAAGTCATGTGCTGTCCACCTCGCGGTTTGCGCCTTCCTGAAGGAGGCACAGAGAACAACACTCGTCTCTTTAGACGGTGTTTCGGCATGCGTACCACATGACCGAGCCATCGTAGTCGATGATGCTGGACGTTTTCCCGGATTGAGGTGCCTGCAGCACGACCAAAAGCCCGTTTTCTAACCAACTCGTTACTAACACGCTGACGCCATCCGAAACCAGCCACGCTTCTGAGGCATCGGTGGTCGAAAACCTGAAGAGGCCTCACATCATCTGTCCGCAGAGGCCATGTCTCGCACCCATAAAACAACATAGCCCTGACTGTACCCTGTTACACATGACTCTTAAGATCTAGTGAGATGCCTTTTTGACGCCACAAGTGGCGCAAATTAGCAAAAGTGATTCGAGTCTTTGAGATTCTTGCACTGACTTCATCAGGCACACTTCCGTCAGAGCTAATACAACTACCGAGGTATGTAAAGTTATCCAAAATCTCCAGTGGTTCTCCTTGAATTGCAAGGCATATGTTCGCAGACAGCACATTCTGAAGCATAACTTTGCACGTTGAAGGTGCAAGGCGCATTATCAAAAATCGAATGATGGTGGTCAGTTTATTCAACAGGGCGTACTCTCACCAGCAACAAATCGAAACCCGGGGTTTTGAGTACCGTCCAGTGTTCGTCTCATTCTTTCGTCAATTACGAAGTTGAACAAGAAAATGGACATCCTTGTCTCACACCACTTTTTCCAGGAAAGACCTAGGAGAGTTCACCATGCACTCAAACCCACCCAGAAGCATGTGAATGTAGGAATCGGATTATGTTTACAAACTTCTGGGGCATACCCTGTTGAGCAAGTATAGTTAACAGTACTGATCGACCAACAGAATCGAACGCACACTTGAGGTCAAGAAATACCAAGATTGTGGGTCACCTGTAAATATGGCGTTGCTCTAACGGAGTGTGAAGATGTGGTCAACACAGTCTCTACCCGCTCGAAATCTTGCTTGGTGCTCACGTAAGACAACGAAGAATCAGTGACGCCAGAAGTCTTGTCACAACAGGCGTCAAACTAACACCTCTGTGGTTACTAAATTCACTGCGAGTACCCTTTTTGAAAATGGGCACCACCATCAATTTTTCCCAGTTGTCTGGGACGACCTCCTCCCAAATAGGGTAGACAGGCACTGACTGAGGAATCCACGGCCATCCCTGAAAAGAGCAGGTGGAA